AGAGGTACCACAGAGAAGAGAGGGGAAACCACAGCGTAAGAGCCTATGCAGAACAGGGCAGAAGACGATGGGCTGGCAGAGAGGTGGAGCCACGTAATCCACCTTTCGTGATCTGCTGGCAGCGACACAGAGCAAGCAGCGCATTGTGGAAATGTCATGTTCGCGCTCACGGTCACCCTCAACCACAGTGACAGCAAGCGCCGCTTTGTTTCCCCGCATCTTCCCAGTTCTACCCACTTGCCACTGGAGCACAAGCAGGAGGAGGTGGCTTCACGCTCAAGGAGCACCACTATGACGTGTGCTTTGCAGAGGGGTACAGGGCTGTCCACCTTGGTGGTGGGGAATAACCAGGAGGTGCAGCGCGGTCCGGTGGTCAGCACGTGGCTCCTGACAAAGGAGCGGGCACGGGGCACGAAGCTGGGGGGATGCAGGACTTGCACCCCCCTCTGCTCTTGGAGGCGACTTCTGTTCGACGATGAGGGTCTCATGCTGAGGTTAACGCACTGCCCGGCACTTGCGACCTCAGGGAAAACATTTTAAAGACATTTTATCTGTGTCTTGGTTTTTTTTCCTCCACCTGCACAGCAGGGGAGAGCCCCTGGCATGACCTGTGGGAGGAAGGGTCTGACTTACGAACAGCAAAGTGCTTTGAGATCCTCCTGTGGCTCACACGCCGAAACCACCAGCTCCACAGGCCTCCTGGCCCTCCCCTACACAGGTGCATGGTGGCCACCGATCGAGTCGCCCCCAGAGAGCCGGGCCCAGAGGCACGGCACGACCTCGGCACCACCCTGTGGCCCCCGGGGTTGATCCTGGTGGGGAGCCCCACCAGCCTCTGCCCAATAGACGTGTGGTCGGAGACCCGGCAGCAAACAGATGAGGGCAGGAGGGGAAGAAAACCGCACCAAGGAGAGGAACATTGAGAAGGGGACACAGGAGCTCCCAGAGCTACAAAGCACCACAGCAGCGACATGGCCACCACCCCAGGAGCGACACAGACCCCTGCCAAGCCCACGGACCCCAGTCCACCACACAGCGAGAGCCCAGCTTCTTGTCCTCCCCCAGCTGTCCCCAGGCCTGCTGTCTGTGTGCTACAAACACATTCGAAGCACTATTTTATTTTTAAACCTTGCATTTTGCACGCTCACAGCAGCTGCCCCAACCTGCGCCAGCCCCGAGGTGGGTCCGACCTCCCAGGTGGGCCCCGGAGAAGGTCCAGGTGGTGTTAAACCAGGAACAGGTCTGCCTAACCCCACCTGAGGATTTCACTCTTCATCTTTCAGATGCTGTCTCCCACCTCAGCTTCTTGGGTCCCAAACCTAAAACTAGGGCACGGCTTCTTCTATCCTTCTACCCATCGCGGGCTGAAGGATGCAGCACTCCCCAGGCAGGGCCATCCGAGTGGTGGGGCTCAGTTCATCCAGGGGACCTTCTAAGCCAGGGTCACCACAACGAGCATCAGCATTACCCCAGGTCCCCCGTCCAGCACAGGCAGGGACACAGCCTGGCTACACCAACCAGAACTGAGACATAAAAAGCACTTTGCACTGCGGTCATATTATCCCCTCGTCCCTCCCCCTCATCCCCTTTGGAGCTTCTTAACTTCAGAAACCTTCCTCCAGAGGAGTGTTGGAGTGACAGAAAACATTTTCCAAGCCTAATATCAGTTCCAGATGTTCACAGCCATTTCAGTTTGTACCTCACCCTGTAAAACACATTTCTCCCTCTCTCTCTCTCAAGTGCAGCGCCTGCTTCGTCCATGACATAATGCGCTGGCGGGCTCGGCCGCGCACACACACGCGCGCTCGCGCCCTCTTCGAGAGCCCCATGTTCAAACAAAGAGCATCACTCAACTACAAAGCCATCACACACATGGAGTTATGAGTAATTTCACAAGTTTTAATAAACAGTTTGGGATGTAATTGCTCTCCGTCTTCTCCGCTGGCTCCCGAGCGGAGCGCCGCTCGCTCCCCACGCGCTGGTGTTGAAAGCGTGGTTTGTTTCGCACACAAGTTCACCTCCTATTGGCCTCAGATGGTCCGAGGGCTGTGTTTTTCTAAGCACCAGTAATATGCCTCTTAAAAATGCACATACAGCCAGGGGCAGCCGACCTGAGCGAGCTGCCGGCTCCTTCTGCCCCATCCCGCAGCATCGCCGCCCCGCACGGAGCGCGGCAGGGAGCAGCAGCGATGCGCCTTAGACCAGCCCCAAAACTCCCTCCTGACACTGCTCCAAGAAGAAGAGGAGCAAATATTTTCTGCCTCAAGGGAAAGGCTACATCTTCCTGTTGCAAAGCAAGGGGGAGGCCAAGGAGTTTTGCAAGGGTGAGAGACTGGAAGCTTTTGGGGGGCAGGAGGAAGGCAGAAGACAGGTTAGGCAGGGGCCAGGCACCATCTAGCTTGCCATGGGGCTGAAGAGCAGGTTGGTTCAGCACTAGCCCCAGCCAATGCCAAGAATCCAAACAAGAAATGACTACAACTACAAGAAAGCAAATAAAAAACCCATACAAGAACAAATAGCCAACACATTTAAACTCAAGAGATCCAAGGGATGAATGGCAGCAGCCTCAAGAGCCGTCAAACCTTGCAGGTTCCTCCCAGCCCAGCGCTGCCACCCTCTGCAGACACCCGTGGTGCACCTCCCAGCAATGGGAGCAACCCGCTCCTACCTGCCCGCAGCCATGGGACTCATGGGGAAGGAAGATCTGCCAACATCCATCAAAAGCCATCCAAATTTCATATCCCACACCCCCTCCCAAGGCTTCCTTCTCCTGCGATTGACTTATTTTTTTTGCGGATGCTGCTCAGATGCGATGGAGATGTGGTGCAGCAGGACGGCTGGGTGGTAGTGAGGGGATACCCGTGGCAGGATTTTTTGGCCAGGTGAAGCACGGTACCAAGCAAAGCCATTAAGAGATGTAGCAGTCAGCATCTCTGCAAACCTCCGCAAGGTATTTGCAAGAATCAAGTCATCTGGCATTAGGGGCCTGGAGGGTAAGAAAGGAATGAAGGCAGGAATGTTGTTTCGTTATAAACAACATAGAAAAAAAAGGAGAGATTTAGCATTGGCTTTTCTCTTTAATTGTTAATGGGGTCATTCTGTCCCAAATGGTCCCCCAGAGCAGGGAGAGGGGAGGGCAGCGCCCCACAATGAATTCAATCGCCTGTCAAACACATGGCAGTCATAAAAGGAAAATAATAATAATAATCTGTATTTCCTACTCTGGCTGCCAGGCAAAGATCCAGCCACTTCAAAGGAGAAACCCCCCGTTTCCCCAGTCTGGCCTCACCTGACCGATGTGTGAGCAATCTGGAATCCCCATCCAAAACAAAGCCCCTCCTTTGGTGGCTTGTTTTCTTTCTCCGTTACTGGAGGGTGCCCCTCCAAGATAAAGAGCAAGCCTTCTTCCATGCCGGGAAACTAGAAACATAACCCAGGGGCCATGGCCACATTGGGCGGCTCTGGACGTGGATGCTGGCAAGGTGTAGGAGAAAGCTCCTGCGGGACAGGACTGGTGTGTGAGCCAGGAACCAGAGCTCGTTCTTGTGGGGGTCTCCACAAACAGCCAGGCCCCCCCAGGACGTGGGGCTCTGGCTCTCTCCAGCAGGAAAAGTCCAGCTCTTACAGCACGAAAATTTTGGATACGGTGGTAAGAGAGGCTGCAGGAGCAGAACAGACGGGCCTGAGATGAACAGGGAGGGTGAACGCTTCCCTGTGGCTGTGAGCTGGAGCAGTTTGCTCTGTGGCAGCAGAGAGCTTGGCCCAGAGGGTCTCACAAAATTAGTGAGAAGAAGAAAAAAGCCACCACACCAAGCAGAGAAAGCTTCCGACCAAGACCTAAGGACTGTGTGCGCGCAACCGCGGATCCTGCTCTGAATGATCTTCCCGAGATTGCCTTTCCAGCAGGGAAACACCCGGGAAGCCCCCGCAAGTCTGCAGGAGCGCAGCAAGGTTCCCCCCTCCGATGCCAGCCACGTCCCCATGTTCGGTCTGGTCCCTTGCCCTCGCAGGCAGCCTGGACACGCACAACTCGCAGAAGCTGCCCAGGCTCCACCTTACAACAAATGAGGTTCTTAATGACCCAAAGCGGTAACTATTGCTGAGCCTTCTTGCTCCAAAAAATTCAGTACTGCCAAGGTCTGGGGGAAGGAGTCCTTCACACAAAGGTAAATCTCTGCTTTGGTCAACAACACTGGCTGCCCCTGACATGTCACATGACCTTCTTTAACAAACAACAGCCAAAATCCTTGAGCAAAGAGCAGCAGGAGGTTTTGCCTGGCTTTCCATGCAGCAGTAGCAACACTCAAGGTCTCAAGTCTAATACCGAAATACATCATTGATTCACCCAAATCAAACCCCATCCTTCACACCCCTCCACCTTGCCCAGCAGCTCCTGGAGCACGGCTTGCATCGCTGACAAAGCCTTTCCAATGCACAGAGCGCTCAGTCCAAGCCTGAGCTGGGAACCAAACTCCAACTCAGGGAACTTACAGGTTCCCGGGGAGATGTTTTGTGCTGCTTAAATGATCCTTCTAAATATTTCAGGCTTTAAGTTACTTCAATAGGTGTGCAAGGCAACTTAAAGTATCCTTTCAAAGGCTGGCACGCAATGCAGTACTCGCTGGAACAGAGCAGTAAAGCCCTTGAGTTGTTGAGGGCTGACCTTCCTCCCACACCCACCATCCTGTAGCACTTGAGATCGATCAGATCAAATAGTCGCTTCACTCAGAAACTCCAACTCACAGCTTTCCTACCTAAAAAGGACAAATCATTTCCTTCCGCCGTGCTGCGTTTTCGTATTTCCCCTTCCCCTCAAATAGCCATGTCCCCAGAAGCCTTCAGAAGCCTCTCCTGAAGGGAGGGGGTTTGATATCTCACATAACACTGGGGCTCTATGCGCTGTTCTCCACAAAAGCAGCGGTCCCCAGCCGGGCAGGGCGCAGGATGCAGCGCCAGGCACCCCTGCACTGAGAGGAACTTGCCCACGCAGCTGCACCCACCTGTGTAGAGGTCCGTGTCCGTGTACTCATCCACCTTCTTGTGCTGCAGGACGTAGTCAGACACCTTGGTCCCAATGGCGGGCTGTACGTCCAGCCACTCCAGAGACACCACGGTGCTGGAGGGCTCCACGTTGGGGGAGAGCCGCAGGCTGGGCAGGAGACAGGAAAGAAACCGTGTAAGACATCAGCTCGCTTTCTGGGGAGGAGTCCACCTCTCCAGGCAGCCCAGCTCCTGGCAGGGCTCACACTCATGCGCAGACCCTCCAGGACAGGGGGCACAAGGGGAAAGTGCATAGGTGAGCACAGAAGAACTTCCAGTTGAAGTTCAGTTGGGCACAGCCTACGCAACATGTGTTCTTTCCTCCCCCTGCTCCTGGAAAAGCCTAGGTGGTGCGACCGCAACCACGCGACCCCGAATATCTCTTCTAAAGGAACCTCCATCTCTTGGGAGAACTACCGAACTTCGGCAGCCCTGGGGGAAACTGGGGACCGGCTGCCCAGGAGCAAGAGAGAAGGGGAGGCTCCAGCTTAACCTTTGTGCAACCCAGCAGGGCTGAGCCTGCAGGAGGGGAGGGTCCGGTCCGCGCCGCCAGCGAGCAAAGGGGAGGGAGGGCGGGAGGGATGGAGGGAGGGTGAGAAGGGGCAGGTGTGGCTGTGAATTTACCCAGCTGCAAATGAGCAAACCTCTGGCGGGTGGGAGCAAAAGCCAAAGCAGGGCAGCTGTGCAGGAGCTCCTGCCCGGATCAGGGACCACGTGAGCAGGGGCGACGGCAGAGCAGCTTTGTGCTCCTGGCCGCGCTAGCGCAAAAGGCGTCTGCTGCTCTTTGCACCGCGGTAAACGACAATGCAACGTACATGGCTACGGAGAGTCCGGCTCCAAACATACGAGTGTGTGTGTTGAACTCAGGATGGGAAATGAATCCCCTCTGAGGATATTGGCTCGCTAAGAAGGTGTTGTGCTCCTTGTGGATCGCTGGAGCCAGTCTTCCTGCTTTCTCAGCTAATTTCCCATCAGTTTGCTCCCGATTTGCTCTTGCTCTGACAAGCCACAATGAATTGCACTGTAATTCCATTTCTTTCAGCATTTGAAATCCCATTCTACAAGCCCTGCTAATCAGGTGATGAAAATCTATAAGGAAACCTTCCAGGGCCACAGCCGGAGCCAGGATATCCTACAGGCATCAGTCACGTGGTGAGGAGCACCGGACTGCGGCCCCGGGGCTGGAAGGCGAGAGGAAGGAGGTGCCCGTGGGCCAAGCCTGCGGGAAAGGGGCTGGTGCTGGGGGACCGTGACCCACGGGACGGGCTCACACCGATACGTACACAGGCGGAGGGAGAGGGCTGCAGTTCGGGAGTCCATTCTCATCAAAGGCGTTGAGGTCACACCTGCACCAGTCTTCGATAACGTCGCCTTTCCCCGAGCACCAGTATGAGCTCATCAGGGCTCCCTTGAAAGCCTGACGGGAGAACAAAAAGCGTGAACACGTGTGCTAAAGACTCGGTGAGATCCAGCCGGTGGCTCCGCCGCGCGGTGCTGAGCATCAGGGGTGTCTGTGCACAGCGCTCGGGGAACGGGAGGCACAAGGGGATACCCCCCAGCCCTGCCACTGCCTCTCTGCGTGGCCCTGGGCAAGTCCCTTCACCTCCCTGTGCTTTAGCTCCCGTGTATCGAGCGATGCTGGTTCATCCCCTGGTGCCACTTTTGGTGTGGGGATGGGGAGCGTCTGCACAAGGCCTCAAAGAGAGGGGATCTCCTGTGACGGAGGACTGAGCTGCCCGAGGGAACACAAACGACAGCCCGTTTGTGACTCTGGAGATCAGACGTAGGGCACCGTTACACTGCAGCTGGGCACAGTGAAACTCTTCCATGAGCCCATCCCATGGCTGCGTGTGCCCCCACTAAGAATAAATTCCTTCCTGCACCCCCAACAACACAGACCACTGCCAACCTTCTCATGGGTTTGTTATTTATACAAGCTGCCCTCCTGCAAGCAAACTGCTGCTTCATCCGCTCGCATAAGGAACACTCACAAACAAACCAGCAGTATCTGGAAGGAAAAAATAAAATCCTGCAAAATACTTGCAGGGTGTTCCCGAGCTGGGCAGTCTCCCCTCCGCAGGCTGTCCCCAGCCTGACCAGGAGCCCTCCCGACAGCTCCTAATGATGCCAATGGATGCCCAGAATAACAGCTGTCCGTCTGCTGGGGGCTGAGGCTGAAACACACTGACTGAATTCCCAAAGTCCTCCAGATCTAACTCCGCGCTCTCTTCCCGGTGCTCATCCCGCAGCTTTGGGGCACTCGCTGTCGGTCCCCACACTGCAGGACGGGGCATCCCTCGCTCCGTACTCTGCTGTAGTTCAGATTTCACGGTGATTTCTCCTGCTACCTTTGCCTGTCGTGCCTAATTAAACCTTCAGCTTGGAAGAAAGCATCTCTCCCTGCACACACACACAGCCGACGCTCAACCCGACACTGGGAAGCCACAACGCCCTGCCACAATAATCGTAACACCAAAATTTCACCCACTTAAACAAACCTCTTTGTAATGCTGTTGACCTTTTAAAAAGGCACATTTCGGGGCCGAAACGCCTTCACAGGTCCTCATCCACGCAGAGCAGCCTCGCTGCCAGCCTCCGCGCAGCCCAGCTCCCAGCAGCACCATTCCGCCCATTCAAAGCCGCCTGCGGATGCCTGGCCCCGGCGATACCGCTACCGCCCGCGCCGCCAGGTTACGCCTTAAAGATAAAACTGCGCCCTTGGAAGAGGACAGGGACGGCTCCAGCGGCTGCGGCATTTAGTAGAAAACTCTATGAAAAGCGCCATCCCGGGGAGGTTTCTGAAAAGAGGAGGTATAAATAGAGCCTGACGTCAGGGCTCCCATTGTCCGGGGTTTTGTCGCTCTCCCGAACACCCCCAGCACCTTTAACGAGGCGCCTCGAGGCTCTCATGTCTGAAACCTTTTCTGCTTCCAGGCATTTACAAAATGGGACTGTTCCAGAAGAGGGGAAAAAAAAAAAAAGGAAGGAAAAAACATGTGAAAGAGAGAAAATGTGACGTTACTTTATTTTCTTCTTTAGAATGTAATTGAAGCACTAGGCTGGAAAGGACATCTCAAAGTAATTGGAGAGCAGGGAAGACAGAGAGGAGTTTACCCGACACATGGATAAATGGGTGCAGATACACTTCTGTAGAGAGCGGCGGGTCTGTGGAGGATAGACCCAGAAAGCGATGCACGTAGGTGGATGGGGAAGCGTGTGCTTCCCTCGGAAGCAGGATAAATACGTACGTTGTGGGTGCGTGTGTGCACAGACATGCCCTGTGGGCGAAGACAGATGCTGGGTGATCCCTGGCAGAGCTGTACCGTCACATCGATGGCACCGCTCCGCTGTCACCCTGTCCCCAGCCCTGACCCGTGCCGCTCTGCACGCTCCCTCCCTGGCCCCTACCCCAGCTCCTCCCTGCACATCCCCAACCCAGGGAAGAAATCCCACTCGCCCCATCTGTGCCCTTTAGCCAAATCCAATAGTCAATTCTTTCCTTCTATTTTCTTTTTTCCGATGGTAAGTGCGAGGCTGGATGAGCAATCCCCTCTGCTCTGCCTGCCCAGCCTTGCACATGTTTTAATTAGATCCTGCAGGTACCCAGCTGTCATCTGCCTTGTGTCAACCTTCACGCAAACGAGGTTAGCTAATCGATGCGTCCTTCAATTGCACTCATTAAGGCAAGCGCACCTACGCGCACTAACCGGGTTACTCGGTGCACGGCTGCTGCCTCCGTCCAATTTCCAGCAGGCGGCTGACACTGGGGCTGGGCTGGGGTGGTGGGGCAGCCAGGACTCCCCTTCCCTCGCTTTCCAGCGGGATTTCTAGCCAGTGGTTTCCAGGATTTTCCCATCAGCACACGGGGAGCGCGTGTTGATGGTTGGGGAAGCGGCAAGAGCGAACTGATGGGGGTGAAATGGGTAAGATCGTGCAGAAAGAAGGGATAAAGTTCCCCATGCAAAGGTGTTCGCCATCACTTTCGGAGGCTCTACATCCTCCGTGGGGACACCAGCCTGCTCCCTGTGGACATGCACTTGCTCCTCAGAAACTTCACGACAAACAGAGGGTCTCAGCGAGCTTTGAAGACTCTTGTGGTCCTCCCAGCCCTGAAGCCAGGTACGGCTTTTGTTGTAGTTCACGGAGCCCAACCCTCCTCCCCTCACCTCCCCCAGCCTGCTGCAGGCTCTGGCTGTGGTGGCAGAGGCTGCTCTCAGGCCCTGGTAGAGCTCAGTGGTGGAAGCTGCCTTCCCACGCAAAGGCGATGGCTTTAACTGGCCCAGCCCCAAAGGCATGTGCTCCTCCACAGGCGGCAACCACATGAAAACCTCTCCTTCCTTGTCTTCTTCTGACAGCATTGCTCAGGAGCGACGGGACTGCTCACACAAACCCAGGGGAATGGCAGCTGCCACCTAAACCAGGAGCCCAACGGCACAGGAAGACCAAGAACAATGGACAAAGGATACTGCAAAGGTGCTGAGAGCCATCCCATGGGCAGCTGCAGCCTTCAGGAGAGCTGCAGATGGGAAGGCACAGGGACCTCCCTGGTCTGCGGTGGTGAAGGACAACCTTCCCCTCCAGCCTTGGTGGGGGCACCTCCGTATCTCCTGTCCTTCCCTGCTGCCATGCTTGGAAACGTGCAGCAAACACTCTCCTCCCTGCCAGGAGACAGCATGTACAACAAGAAGACCATCTCAACCATGACCGTCTCCACATCAGATGCTACACCATGGTGGTCATGCCAAGCTACCGAGCTGGGAAAACCCAAGAGGCTCTGGAAGTGTGATGGGCTTCCCAGGAGCAGCCCTGCCTGCTGGGGATGGCAGAGCAGCCCCCGACGCACCATCCTGCGCTCGTCAACCACTCCCCCGGATCTCAACGCCCCTCTGTGCCCTAAGGCAACTTTATCTTTCATTTAAAAGTATCCAAATTGTATTGTTTCCCTGTGAGTCAGCCCATTTAGTTTATGTCCTTCAGTGCCAGAGGGGAAATTTATGAGATGAGAAACTGGCTCGAAACGTTTATTTTCTAGATGACGAGTCATGCCATTAGATATATAGCATTATGAATCATAGGAACAGCATCTAATTTGCTCTTAAAGGTATAATAGGTCTGACTCCCCACACCCATACACACACATATATTGGATTGATAGTTCCCCCATAGGATGGCTAGTTCATTTGTTTTGACATGAGCAAGACTTACAGGACCATAAAGTCCCATCTTACCATAAGTTAAGCCTATTCATAAAAAAAAATATTAGGGAAACGAATGATCAGCTAAGCACATTTATCCTACACTCGATTGCATATGGATCTTTCTCCTGTTGTTATTTGTGCTCAGGGGGAGGCCATTTGGCCCCGTTTTATAGCTTAGACGCTCTGCAACAGAATATAGAAGAACATTTCCTTTGTCCTCTGTTAGACCTGGCTGATGGAGGGAGAAGCATTAAGTTATTTCTGACCGTGGGTTTTCTGTTAACGTCCCTGGAGAGGTAAGTTATAGGACATGAAGGAACCTTTCAGGTCAGCATTTGCAGGACTCAGCACACACCACGGGGCCTGGTGTTTCCAGATGGTGTACGGGAAAGGGCATGTGTTGGGTGCTCATGTGTGTTTGAACATCTGGTCTTCTCCATGGCTGACAGGGATATGACAATCTGGCTCAGTTGTTTCTTTGAGTCTAGGTTTCTTTGTGGTGGGTATGCACACCTCAGTTTCTGGAAAAATTAAAAAGGAAATACAGCGAAATGAAAAAATAACCATAAATGATCATGGAGGCTGGACACAGACATCAGGCATCATGGAGAGATCAGAGATGACCTAAAAGCTGGCAATTTAGTAAACTTTGGGCTCTGCGCTAGTTTCCCTGGTCTTTGCTTGTTTTTCTTCTTCTAAATGTAGAAGGAAGAGAAGAAGAGCAGGAGCAGGCCGGTGGACAGGCTCGGCCCCATGTCCAGGGACACAGCAGCCAAGAGAGACATTAAGTCCCTTCCTTTTTGCAGGATGGAGATGGTGCCCGCACCACCACCGCCACCTTCCCCAGGTGCCAGCGGAGGAGGCAGAGGGCTGCCTGGCGAGGCGCTGCCCTGTTCTGCTGACCAGCAAATCCAGTCCCCCAGCGATGCCACCCCACACAGTGCCTGACACAACCGGACACTGACAGGAGCTGCCGGACGCTGCCGTGCTCCAAGCAGTCTGTAGATAACAACAGCAATACTGACTGTTCATTAAGGGAAAGAAGACTATGGGATGCAGGCTCGAGCAGGGATTTCACAGCCTGAAGGGGATGCTACCATGATGATAGGGGTGGCGGGAGGAAAAGCCTTCCATGCCCTTACAGCAATGCTCAGCGCTGTTCACAGGAGATAAACGCTGCTCCTTGGTCTAGACATCTCTGGGAGGAGGGAAAGAAAAA